CGTGTCAAGGTCCCTCTGGATGGCATTCCTTCCCTCCAGCGTATCAACTGAACCACACAGCTTGGTGTCATCATCAAACTCGCTGAAAGCGCACTCAATCCCACTGTCCATGTCAGCGACAAAGGTGTTGAACAAGACCGGTCCCAACACCAATCCCTGAGGGACACCATTCATTACTGGTCTCCAGCTGGACATTGAGCCGTTGACCAAAACTTTGTGTTCCGCCATCCAGCCAGTTCTTTATCCACAGAGTGGTCCATCCATCAGATTGACGTCTCTCCAATTTAGAGACAAGGATGTCGTGTGGGACAGTGTCGAACACTTTACACAAGTCCAGGTAGATGACATCAACTGCTCTACCCCTGTCCATCAGTTCTGTAGCCCCATCATAGAAGGCCACCAAATTGGTCAGGCAGGATTTCCCCTTAGTGAAGCCATGCTGGCTGTCACCCAGCACCTTGTTGATTTTCATGTGCCTTAGCATGCCTTCCAGGAGAATCTGCTCCAAGATTTAGCCAGGCACAGAGGTGAGACTGACTGGTCTGTAATTCCCCGGGTCATCCATTTTCCCCTTCTTGAAAATGGGGGTTATATTTCCCTTTTTCCAGTTGTCAGGAACTTCACCTGACTGCCATGATCTTTCAAATATGATGGCCAGCGGCTTAGCAACTTCATTTGCCAGCTCCTTCAGGACCCGCGGATGGATTTCATCAGGTCCCATGGACTTGTGTAGTTTCAAGCAATATATGGCAGTAGTTGGAGGTGGCTGTGTGCACCTCAGAGGCTACCGTTGTAACCAGCAGCATGATTCCTAAGGGCTTTGCCCTTGGTAGCTCACAGAGAGAGAGAGTAGTGCCCTCTTTTGTCTCCACTTCTGTCTCCAGGACTTTTTCGGAGGGCTGTGGGTAGCTTCTTCCCCTTCTAGATCTCTGTAATATAAAGGGTGGGTACCTGACTGCTTCGGAGTTGATATTAGCAGGAAAAGAGGCAGCTGAAGCCTGGAAGTGCAGCCACAGTGCCCCCAGCCAGGCCCTTCCCCTTCCAGGGTCAGGAAGGTTGTGCTGCCTGAGGTCTAGGCCTGTGGCACAGCTCTGAGCCAGCTGAGTGGTTTCCCTTTCTCTCTCTGGCCTTCCCTGCACTCCTCAGCACTGATGGGTGGCTCACATGGGAGACAAGGGGTAGTGTGCAAGTTACTGCTGAGGAGATCCCAACTGGACACAAGAGGAAAGTTTTTCACAATGAGAACAATCCACCACTGGAATAATCTCCCCCGGGGAAGTGTTGGATTCCCCAGCATTAGACACTTTTAAGATTCATCTGGACAGGGTGCTGGGACATCTAGTCTAGGTCATGCTTTGCCTCGAAAGGTTGGGCCAGATGAACTTTGAGGTCTCTTCAATCTGGTGTTGTGATTCTGCACTCTGTCTCCTCATTACCTGGATTTAGCCCTCAGCCTGCCACTTGACCATAGCGTCAAGGAAGGGCATACTGTGGAAAAGGTGACTCACAGCGTTGGCAAGAAACGTGTTTGCATTAGCCACTAACCTGGCTATCAATATTTGTTACCTGGCTTTGTTGTATTTTGACACTACATGTTTTGTTACAAAGATGGCAGTAGGTAGACCACCCAATGACCACATTCTGCAGTCTGAAGCAGACAGGATGGACAAAGTCCCGTGTCAGACTGACAGCGCCCAGGCAAGCACCATGTTGTAAATGTGGTGGCTGTGCTGTGCATGCCATCGGTGAGATCACCAGTGTGTGAGTGTCTGACAGGGGCGGGAACCTGCAGGTGCGTTTTCTGATTTGACTTACAGCCAAGGTCTGTAACCCCACGGAAAGACGGCAAGGATTTATAGTTTGCTCCCCATCTTCCTTAGGCTGCAAGCCATGGAGGAACGGGGGGCACTAGAAGTCAGACCACTTTAGTAGCAACTGGTGTGCTTACTGCCCCAGGAAAGATGATGTGACCCAGTCCCGGCTGGTCCTTAGCCCCGGGAGGTCGCTAGCCAGCTACTGCAGTTGGCTTGCTCCAGGAGGGTTCTCTGGCTTCGGGGGAAGTTCCTCCGTGGCTAAGGCCGGAGACTGAAGTGACGGATCAGGCAGCGCCGCGGACAGCCCACCGCCGGCGCGGACTGGGGTCCTTACATACTATAAGACTGTAAGGCGGAAGTCCCGCCTCCTTTTCCGCTGGTGCCTGGCGGTGGTGCGGGGGTGAGTAGAGGAGATGGCGTCGGGGCCTGCCGAGCGGAATCCCCGCGGTCGCCGGGGCATCGTGGCGGGAGCGGGCCGGGCGGGGGCCTCGGGGCGGCTGGCGCCGCTCACCGCGGCGGCCTGTGTCTGTATTTCCAGCAGGAAGCCGGGCGGGAACAGCACCCACCGTGAGCACCATGGCCGAGGAAGGGTGAGCGGGGCCGGGGCCATTGGGGGGCGGTGGGCGGAGGGGCCGCGTCTCGCCTGGCCGTTTCGCGCCCCTCTATGCTGGGCCTTGCAGCTCTGGGCGTTCGGGGCCTACGTAGGCCCCGCCGTGGTGCTGCCGCATGCTTCCTGCAGGTTGGATGCTCGGCTGGTGTGCGGGGCTTCCTTTTCTTTTTAAGGGAGCGTGGAGGCAGCAGAGCTGGCTGGCTCGGTAGGAGAATTTAATATCAGTTCCTTTCAGATTAATCTTTTCCCCAGTTTCTCCTTCGCCTTAGTTTCTTTGCTTGCTTCGCTTCTGTGTAATTTTAATTACTGGATGCTTGGTGGTAAAGGGGAAACTTGCCTGTCGTTTTAAGATGTCATGATGAGAGCACTATCTGTGTTCTCTTTAGCATTACTGCTGGAGGTGTAATGGATGTTAACACCGCCCTGCAAGAAGTGCTGAAGACTGCACTTATCCATGATGGCCTAGCTCGTGGTATCCGTGAAGCAGCCAAAGCCTTGGACAAGTAAGTCTGGCTTTCCCATTTTGCCTAAGGTAAATCGCAGAACGGCACAAGGTATGTTGAACACATGCAGTGGTCACTTTGCTCATGAGTTTAGTTGAAACTTTTTGCAAGACCCTGTTTTTCTGGCAACGAGCTCTGTCTTTATCTCTTTTTCAAGGTCTTTAACGGTGATCTTAAAATACAGATGTTAAACTTTATGATTCAAGAATAACAGCATCTAGTGTATTTTTTATCTTTTTGTGACCTCAGTGCCATCGAGTTTTCATGTGGACTTGTTTTGTGAAGTAAATGGAATGGCACTTGCAGTATGTAGCTATGAAAATCTGGGGCTCAAGGACCTTGTGTTTTAAGAATGATAAAACTCTTCTCAAAATTAAGATTTTAACTGGGAGAGTTTATATATGTCAGACTTAACCTAGAAGAGTTGGTTTAGTTTTATGAAGTAAACCTGAAATTCATAGCTTGCCTTCACTGCTTTTTCAGCTTCATTTTTTTGCCTTTGTTTTGTTTTCAGCTGTAAATATTTGGTTTGGTACAATATCAAAACAAAATTAAAATTGTCATAAATGTGCCAACCACGGTAATCAGTTATGGCTTCTTGGTAGGATGAAGTACTGTTTCTTGTGTATGTTTCTGTATATATATATATAGAGAGAGGCACATACTTCTAAGACTAGATAGTGTTTAAGTGAAATGCTGCAGTGTTTGGGTGATGACTTTACAACTTGTCGGATACCCCTTCACTCGTCTAATGAGTGAGACCATCAGTCTGACAAACCTGTATGCGAAAAGCTCTAAGACAAGGTACCAAATAATGGGAGAGAAATACTACTTAATAGGCTGACAACTAGTTTGTAAGAGTTGTTTTGACTTCAGATAAAATTTCATATGCTGTGTGTTAAAGAGGATCATGTGCAAAGTTTATATGCATATGAGTGTGATGGTTTTCACTTGGAAACATGGTTTCTGAAACTGTGTGGTAAAAGTCATGATGAAGGAGGCCATAGAGAAAACTGATTTTGATTGCAGTGGTCAAATTATATTAGGTTAAGCATGGAAGACCTATACAGCTCTCTTTGTTGTCAGGTATCCCTTTGGTATTAACATTGTACCACAGTATACAAAGATCCTAATTAGAAATGAGGCCCTGTCATAACAGCTTCTTTCAATGTAAGTAGAAAGATTGTTCTGAAGAGCTTATAACAAATTGATATGGAAATGCAAACTTTTAATAATTGCGGTCTTAATGTTCAGTTGCTATCTGTGGTAAACAAGAAAAAGCAACTTGTAACTCAGGTGCTTTTTAATAGTGACATCAATTTTGCATGGGACTGGTGTATATCCAGTAATTACCCCTTTTCTGAATGGCTGAGAATTTATTTTGTGGAATTTTTAGACGCTTCTGGAATAGAGTAATCTGATAATAAAGCTAACAACATATGAGTAGTCTGTTACATATATGAAAAGCTTAACTTGTAGTAGGTCATCTCAAAAGTATGTTAGTATTTCAAAAGCCTGTGTAGTCTTGAACCCAAAAGTTAAACTTGGGAAGTGGTTGTCTAGAAATGCAGTAGCTGAATTTTGTTCTTCACAGTTTTGATTATCAAGGACGTTAGTCTGTGTCCTAAATTAAAATTTTTTTTTTTTCTTTTAAGACGCCAAGCCCATCTTTGTGTTCTGGCTTCAAATTGTGACGAACCCACATATGTAAAATTAGTTGAAGCACTTTGTGCAGAACATCAGATCAACTTAATAAAGGTGAGTGTCACTTCAGGCACAGGTTTTACCCTGATTGCAATATAAGCTGCTTGTTTCAGCATGCAGAGAGCTGAATCTTTGAGACATTATGCTATAATTCTGTATAAGGCTTATCTAAGCAAAGTTTCTCTTCGTAGCAAAGGTTGTTTTAGTTCTGAGTGACTGTCATGGAAACAGTACAAAATCTGCATGTAAATGGAAAAGGATGTGTATCAGATATTTAACAAAGTTAAAATGATTTCTTGTTTTCTGACAAATAGATTAATGCTGCAAGTAGCTGTAGAACATAGATGTCTAAACATTCCTTTCTTCAAAGCTGTACAGTGATGATACTTTGGCTCCCTCTACTGATAGTTGTGAGGAAAGCAGCCATCCGTTACCCAGTACTTCTGAGTACAGCAGTTTTTGCTGAACCCAGTTATGTTGCAAGTTGCTAGTTCTAATGTGATGCAATGTTTTACACAGGTTGATGACAACAAGAAACTGGGTGAATGGGTAGGTCTCTGCAAGATTGACAGAGAAGGAAAACCTCGCAAAGTAGTGGGCTGCAGTTGTGTGGTTGTCAAAGTAAGATGATCCTGTAATTATAGCTTGCTTCTTGAGTTTTGAAAATAAGCAGTAAAGATAAGGTGGCTTTAGATAATGGACTGTTAAATAGATCTTAGATTCTTATTTTTAAACAGTTGCTTTGCATTGTTATAATGAAGATAAACTGCTTCCCTGTTTTATATTCCCTTTCATGTGTTTTTAAAATACTTGTATAAATTTTGTAAGTTAATGCCTGTTTCCTTAAAGTATCTATGCCTACTTGCCAGTAAGCATTAAAGGACAGATCTTTTAACTAGAAGAGATGAAGTTTTATTTCAGAAAAGAAAAATGCCAGTTCAATGTGTCTGCTCAACTTGAAAATGTTCTGCAGAGCATATTTTAAAATGAGCTGGTAAAGTAAAGCCACAGTACGAGCCTTGAAGACTTTGTTGTCTTTGAGGTCCCAAGAGATGGCTACATCTTCACAGTAAAGACTAATCCCTTCTTTATATGTTGTCATACTTTTGCTACTGTTTCACATAGTTTACTTAGCTTTCTTTAAACAGAAATGAAGAATTACACTTGAATGAAATAGTTTTTTATTAGAGGAGTTTTTTATTAAGAGAATGAAAGGAAAACAGCTGGCAGATTGTTTGATGTTACTTGTATGGAATTGTGGGAATACTTGGGATGCCTTGAGAAAAAGCATAAACCTCAATTTTCCTTTTTAAAATAGCTGACAAATTTTTGAATGAGTCAGCGTGTTATTAATGAGTTGCCTTGTGTTACAGGACTATGGCAAGGAATCTCAGGCCAAGGATGTCATCGAAGAGTATTTCAAGTGCAAGAAATGAACCAGAAAATAAATTTTGAACCTGACTAGTGTGCATGTGATTAATGGGTGGGAATCTGTGGAAGAGTTCTTTGAGTTGCAGCAGGTACCATCAGAAGATAAAGGACTTTTCAGATTTTGGTTTAGCTATTACTGTGTTAACTGTCAGCTTGCTAAAAAGACGATGGTGATCCCTGCCTTTCCTACCCTTGGGTGCTTCTGTTTCCTGTTCCATCCCAGAGGGTACCAACTTGGGGAACTTGGCACAGCTCACCTGCAGAAATGCTGTCAGTTACTACCTTTGCTTGGGCCTGTACTTCTGCAGGGATTCTGAATATGTTTTTAGGGGAAAGTCCAAAGTACTGCTGCATCTGTGATGAAAATTTGGCTCCCTCTGCTGAAACAGATGAGGAGAATGGCCTTAACCGTTACCCAAGTCTTCTGAGATGTTGCAGGAAATTTTTTAATATTATCCCAATATATTAGGGACATTAGTTGACACAAGTTGTGTGTTGTTTGGTTTCCCCTTCCCCCAGTTCTGAGGCAAACTGTTGGTGGAATGAGCTTCCAGGAAGTATTGTCACCTCCTTCTAGGTATTCTGTAGGAGTCTGTTGTGGTTTAAACCCAGCCAGACAGCTGGTTCACTCACTCCCCTCCTTCTTTCCCTCCCCCTACTCCCGGAGGGACAGAGAGGAGAATCGAATGCAACTTCCATGGGTTGAGAGAACAGTTTAGTAACTAAGGCATAACATAAATCACTACTGCTACCACCAATAATAATAATGATAAAGGAAATAACAAGGGAAGAGAATACAACACCTCAGCACCAGCCAACCGATAACTCGCCCCTCTGATCTGAGCCTGACCAAGCACCGACCAATACCTCCTCCAACCCTGCAGTCTACTGGCCCTTCCAGGTAACTCCCAGTTACCTCCTGGGCATGACGTGCTGTGGTATGGAATACCTCTATGGTCAGTTTGGGTCAGGTGTCCTGTCTCTGCTTCTTCCCAGCTTTCCTTCCTCCCTGGCAGAGCATGAGGCTCAGAAAGTCCTTGGCCAAACGAAAACATTGTTACCAGCTCTCTTCCCAGGCCTAAAGTCAAAACACAGCACTGCACCAGCCACCAAGAAGGAGAAAAATGACTGCTACTGCTGAAACCAGGACACAGAGTTAGTAGTCAGGTAGCTAAGTAGCTGAGATCACTGCTTGCAACAGCACATTGTTGAACTCTGGCTTGCCCGGTGTCTTTTAATTTCTGCAGTAGTTGATGTACAGAACTTAGCAATTTTTTGCTTTTATCTCCTGCAAGTTATGTCTTCCACTTCCTGTGGAGCAGTTCTTAAATGGAGTTACAAGGAATTGCTGCATTATGCTGATGAGTAAGACATGAATATGTGGGGCTGGGCACCTGTAGCCTGAGGAGATTGGAATGCGTCTTCTCAGTCTCTTGAGCTTGAATTTTCATTGTGGTTTATAACTGATTTTGATAACCCACATCATGCGCGTAGTGTATAGACAGGCATCCTCTTCAGATGCTGGGCTCATACACACTGTACAGCTCTCATTAAAGCTCTTTTGAAGTGTCTCTCTTTTGGCCTTGTCACAAATTTGTAGCTGTGTAGCTGCTAGTAGCTAAATCTGGGTGATTTGATTTTTGAGAAGTTCCTGTAGTAACATTTTCAGATGTACTTAATGACAGTCTCACCTTTTCCAAGTCTGCCCAAATATAGGAAATGTAACCTTGTGGTGATACATGTTCAGTTTTGTCTGAGAAGTTCTCAGTGAAGTGAGTTAAAAGTAGCTGTTAATGTCATGCTAGTCTTGTAAATGGAGGGAAGTTAGCAAATGTACAGAGGCTACCACTTTCCCTTTGGATGCTGAAATGACAGATTTGTTCCTGTAGATACGAGCCTTAGTTGGAGAGCTTATTTCATTAAGTTACTGGAGGTTTCTAAACACTAAGAAAAGGCAGTTCATAAAAATATTCCTTTAACTATGTAAGTTAAGAGACTAGTAGAAAACTTTTTGTCAGTTGTGTTTGGCTAATAATCTTGATTATCTATGACAGAAGCACAACAAAGTACATTTCAGCCTCGTCCTATTTACACTTCAGTCTGTTGTCCTGTTCTAAGAAGCTGCAACTCCTTGAAGTTTGGGATAAAATAATAATGCTGTTTGTTCTTCAGGCTTTTTTGCAGCTACATTCTAAGAGAATTGTCTGAAATGGTAGTGATATTGGCAGTGTAATAGCATTTATGTTTTTGCTTTTCTTTGGCTGGCTTTTTTTATCAGAGTTATTATACAAAGGGAATTGGGATCCAAAACGAGCGTGTGGGTCCCATGGCCTGTGTACTGCTGAGACTGAAAATTGTTTCTTAATTGAACATGTTTCACTACCAGCACATTTTTTACCTGCTAGGAATAGTAAATTCCTCTTAACTCCTTGGATCTCTGGATGCGGGGTAACAAACATGCAATTCAGTAAGCCCCTCCAGGGTAATGGATAAAGGTGTTTAGAAAATACTAAATCCATAGCCTTATATTCTCAAATTCGAGGAAGCTTTTGCTAAGCCTGTGCAAGCAAACCAAGGTTTTCCAGATGTTTGACTTTTTGGCTAAAATAGAGCTTTTCATTTTATTGTTACTTTTAAACAAAAAATGACTGGAGAATGGAGGAGAGCATGGGCCAGAGTTCAGATATGCTTAACTGATCACACAGAGAGTAAGTCCTGTATAGATACTTCCTAGATGTAGGATTATGTGAAGTTAAGCTGCGTTTTTTTGTTTTTTTTTTTTTTTTTTTAACTGAATTTGCCCTTCTGATGAAACTCAGTTTAGCTTGAGGCCAGCTCAGCATGGAAAGTTTTTGCTATTGTAACTTAATTTCCCACAAGTCTACTAAGTTCTTAATTTACTTTTTGGGGAGGGAAATAGGAAGGATATTGGTGGAAGAAGGAAGAAATGTTTTGTGTCCAGGTTAACTGAAGTGGTCTTTTTAAGGAAAAGGATCCATCACTGAAAAGGATTAATAAAGTTGATAACGTTGCTTTAATAAAATTCTGAAGTTGTTTGGCTGTTACTACGTTACGTCTATAGAAGATGTGGAAACCTGTTCACCATTTGTATTTAATACCTGATGTTCATCTTAGCACTTTCCTCAATATTTATGGAGAAAGCTGATACAAAATAACATGCTACATTGTGGTACTACTGTCACTGGATTTCCCACCCAGCTGTAATGCTACAGAAATAGGATTTGCTTGGTAAAGAAAAATACGTTCTCTGAGTATTCACAGCTTACAAGAATGCTGCAGAAATACTACATTTGTTTGACTAGGCTGGAATAGTACAATAGCACCAATTTCAGTTTTGCATGAAAGGTAGGTGAGATGTCCATTCTTGCAGATTCTGGAGCTAGTATACTGCTTTACCTTACAGGATTAGTGAAATTCCTTGCAACAAGTTTTTTAGCTGGGTTTTTTAAAGCCATCTATGGGGAACATGCATGCTGAATCTACCATTGAATTAGACTTAGGAATTGTTAGCACATTGTGAATTTATATATTTAGTAAGGAGCTTTATATATTTTAAAGTTGCAAGCAATTTGATAAGAGTCCAGCAAACCACAGTTACTCAACTTTACAGCATATTCTACTTTAACATATTTTAGCTGCAGTGTAAGAAAAATAACATGATCTCCATCTATCAAAATGATTGTTTCATTTCTACCATGGGATATTGGAATTGCTACTTCAGCAGTAGCTGGATTATACATTTCATCTTGAATACTATGAATCAGTTAACTCTTGGGAAAAGGAATTCCAAGTAAAGAGCTGTAGTCCATGAGCAAGTTTAAGCAGTGTTTTGCAATAATTGAATATCTCAATGGAAGTTCAGGGCTATGTGTTTTGTTTTTGTTTTGTTTTAAATGTCTTATTTTACATGGTAATGAATATTAATACTAGGGAGTGACATATCTTTGTGCCAAGTTGGTTTTCACTGAAACGGAACTAACAGTTCCTAAGTATTTTTGCCAG